TACCATGGAAGTCAAGGGTCAAAAAGTCAATGCTCATTAGAGCTAAGACTAACCTTCCCCACAGTGGAATCTAATTTACCCTTCCCTACTCCTGATTGCTATCATCAGACCCTTTCTGCTCTTCCTCAAGCCTCCACGTCTCTCACCCAAAGGATAAGACATCTGCAGGGTGGCATGATACATGTAGAGGTTGTCTCCCCCCAGGGAGTGGAAGCACCATGAGGTCTTTGTGTCCACAGCACTGTACAGTGCCAGGCACATCATAAACACTTAACAGATACTCGCTGATTGACTGGTAGAGTGGTAGTTCGCCCTCACTCCGACCAGTCCTAAATATGGCGGGAGGGACGCTGAGGGGTGTTGCCTGACCCTGAATCAACGCCAAGCATCTCCATGGAAGACCACCGATGTGGGGAATCTCCAGGTCTTTCACAGGCACCTAATGCCGCAGAAAGGGGGCAGATATTCACCTCATCCTACCCACCATTCCAACTACTTTCATGTTACACTTCAAGAATGATTCCAAAGGTGGGAAAGGGCATTAGAGATGACCTGGAAAAACAGCATCTACTTGGAGCTAAAGCTTTGAGAGGAGGCCGGTTTCTCTAAGCAGGGAAAAAAGAATCAAATCAGAGGGACAGTGGAGACCGGAAATGAGAGTGTAACCATGAAGGACCATGGGAGCTTAGATGGGAAGAGAAGGGGGGGGGGAATGTGAATGACTCTTGAACTAAAGGCAGGAAAACAGAAAATTTCTCTCCTTTCTACCCCAAACTCCCTACTCTTAAACAGTTGAACTATTATTATGATGATGAAAATCATTCCTTTTAGATTCCTCTTCTAGAACAATAAATGGTAAGAGCTGGAAGGGACCCTGGAGGTCCCCTAGTCCAAACTCCTCATTTTACCCATAAGAAGTCTAAGGCTCAGAAGTGAAAAGACTTTTCCAGACAGGAAGTGGTAGGGCAGGAATCTAAATCCAAGCCTTGTGACTCCAGCCCCTCAGCAAGAGCATTACTGTAAACAGGCCCATGAGGCAGCCTTTCTTTGGGTGGGAGGTTATGTTCCATCCTCCCATGGGCCTCCCTATGGCCTCACTGCCCCTGAGATTCATCCAAGGATGCCAATCACAGTCTAGCCAGGCCTGCATGTCCTATGTGAGCCTTGTTCGTGTCCCCCCAGGAAGACTCCTAGCAGTGTGCTTGGGAAGGGTTCCTCAAGTTCTCCTCAGGGTTAGTCATCCTTCTGCTCTCTCACACAAAACAATCCATCCTTGGCCCTGCTTCTCTGGACTCCCTTGCTTGTGAAGTACCGTAGCCCGCTCCTGCCCGCGGCTATCTGCCACGGCCCTTGGAGGACCTTCAAAGACGATTCGTTTTAGGCTGTAGGTGTGCATGACTTGCAGCTACAAAGTGGCCCTGGGAGAATCTCGGTGTTAAGGAAAGATGGGTCTTTGTTTCAGGGAGAAGTCTGGGGCATTAAAAGGACAGGGAAGCATCCCAAAGGCGATCCAGCCTTTGGACGGGGAAAGGGAGTTAGGGTAGCTCAAACTCCTCTTTGTGGTCATCATGGGCCCAAATCACTGTCCACTTGCAGGGTCTGTCCAAGACGTATGTACTAAAGGACAAGCTCGAAAAGGTGTCTCCCCACTACATATCATAGTACAGACCAGAAGAATCAAACTTGTGGCTTGCACCAGATTAAAACGGAATTGGGACATATTTAACAAAATAAATAAAAATACAATACAACATAGATGGTGTCAATTTGTGGTCTTCTAAGTTAATATGCAGCCCCCAGGGATCATTTCTATTTGAATTTGACAGCAGTAGCCTCAACAGGGCTTTCTTAACCTGGAGTCCATAGACCTTCAAAGGTTATATAGACAGATTTCAGAGGCTCTTTTATCTTGGATGGAAAAAATAAGAGTTTTACATTTTTATTTCATTGTATTGTTTTTTTTAGTAATCTTAGGTACATCATTCAGAGAAGGGGCCATAGGCTTCACCCAACTGCCACTAGGATCCAGGACACCAAAAAAGTTCAGAACCCCTGGTCTAGACAATAAGCATTCTTCAATCACTTGGTTTTTCCAGTGTTAAAAGGAAAGCCAAACTCTTGAGTGATTCTGGGGCACCATACAGTTGGCCCAGCTTCACCCAAGGACAGGAGCATCCGAAGGGCCTCAGAAGCAGTAAGGATATGGGGCTGGATCTCCCAAGACACCAGCAGACACACTTCCAGCAAGCATCTGTCTCCCTGTCTGATGCCTCACTTGGTGTTAAGGACCAGAAGGTTGTGAAAAAAGATCTCTCTGTGGTTAGAGATTTCAAAGACTGTTGCTGACATATGCATGGGACCTACCTCCTTGGAGGACAGCCTTTAACATGGGGCTTTGCTCTACCAAACCAATTTTTTTTTAAATCATCCACAAATAAGCCCAGTGGGATCTCGTATCTGCTACATTCTCCAGTCAAGTGTATGATGGTAAAAATGTGTTTCACTGCAGTACATGGCTTGTGTGTTCTAAAGCCTTCATTAAAGATGCCATCAACACCTAGTTAGCTTATTCTCATGAAAACTGTATATAGATGGCAGAGAGGGTGTGTGTGTGTGTGTGTGTGTGTGTGTGTGTGTGTGCCATGCTCCAAAAGGAGTGTCAATGAAGATATAAAATGGAAATGGTGTGCTCAAAAAGCAAAGCTCAGCTATGGAATATAAAGGGCGTCACCATTTAACCAATCCAAGAAGACAGAGAATGGAGAAAGATTTGGCATTCAAGGTGTGGGAGTATATGTTTTCACACCGAGTCAGATATATGTCTAATAAAGAAAAACAAAAAAAGCACTTGAAATTACCCCAGCCAATCTGGTTCCCAGAGAATGCTAGGTTTGGAGTCAGAGAACCAGGATTCCTATACGAGCTCTACTCCTCTTATTACCTGTGTGACCTTGGACGAGTCACTTCACTGGGGTCATCTTCCTTCTCTGAAGGACTGCACGGATCTGTAGGGTCCCTCCCAATTCCAGATCTGACTTCTGGTTTGTGCTCTGACACCTACTAGCCAACCTTTCTTCAGGCCATCCCACCCCGCTGATGACTGTGACATGACTTTGTTCTGTTTTTACCAACACCTGGCCCACCCTCCTATGGTTCTGATGAGTTTCAAAGGAAAGACAGGAGAAGGAAAACCATAAAGTTAAGATGGGAATATTACTGCTAATATATTTTATGGGTGTCAAAGGTCCAATTGCAATGCTACTGAATAAATATTTCCTTGGTACCTGCTACATGGAAGGCCCAGGACAAGCAAGGGCCCTGGGGACCCGGAGATCAACAACTCCTAACCCCTGCCTGGAAGGAACAGTAGGAAAGGAAAGTCCAGGACATAATCCCTTCAGGAAGTTAAGATGATAGGGCAATAGGAAAGATTCAAATAAAATACTGGGAGGCTCCTGGAGAGAGTGAGACTGCATCTGGGAAAGGGGGATGATTCCAAAAGAAGTCCCAGGCCCTGAAGGGTGGGATTCTCCCAAGGGAAGCTGGGACCAGGACAAGGCACTCGAGGGGTGTTGAAGGATGTCCTAGTGAAAAAACACCAGCCTGAACAGTCAGAAAATAGGAAAGCCTGGGGCCATTAGGTAGCCAACCAGAAGGCCAGTTTGACTGGAGCCTGGGGTCCCAGCAGCGCCTCCCCCTCTCATATCACCTCCCATCCTGCCCTGAAGATCTTCTGAAGGTGCCTGGTTATGGTCCTCCTGGAGCACGGACGCTCCTTGGGAGAAGGACCTAGGTTTGTTCTTTTTGTACCCAGACCACTTAGCAGAGGGCTTAGCACCCAGCAAGTGCTTAATAAATGTTTGTTGACTGCTAGCTGCCTATTAACAGGGCATAGAATTTACAGTCAAGACCCAGGTTCAAATCCCACTCTGCTACTTACGTGGGACCCCCATAAAACAGAGAGGTGGGATTTCTACAGATCAGGGGTTCTTAACTTGTCCAGGAATTTAAAAAAAAATTTTGATAACTATATTGCAACATAATTGATTTCCTTTGTAGTTTTATGCATCTAGAAACACGATTCTGGGAAGGGGCTCATCGGCTTCCCTAGACTGACTGTCAAAGGTTCAGAACATCCCTGGACTAGATGGTATTTCAAGTACCTTTGGACCCTACCTCCTATCCTAATAGACCCTAGGGTCCTAGACAGACCCTACCCTACCCTAGAGAGACCAGGTTTGTAGATTAGGGCCAGAGCAGGAAATGTCAACACTGAATTTGCAGTCTGACACTCCCAGCTTGATTCTGTTTTTTCACTCCCAGTGTGACCTTGGGCAAGTCCCTACTCCTGTGGGCCTCAGTTTCTTCACCTGTAAAATGGTGGGGGAGGGGGAGAGGGCTGGACCAGAGGATCCCAAAGGTTCTAAATCCCTCCGATGCGATATATGCTGGTTGACTGCTCGATCCGAGGGGGAGCCTGGAGTTTGGGTTTTATTTCAGGGAGCAGCGGGGAGCCGCTGAAGGTTTCTGAGTAAGGCAGCTGCTTCCTGAAGCTGTGATTGGGGAGGATGCATCTGGGCAGGGGGGCTGGGGGAAAGGGAGGGAGGGGGAGATTTGCCAGCCTGCTTGGGAGGGGTGAAGACGGCCCGCACCAGGGTGGTGGCAGGGGGAGGGGGACGGATGGAGGGAGGGAGGGATGGAAAGGGCTGGAGCTCGCAATGTGAATCCAGGAGAGGAAAGCCTTTGTGATGGGCACGGGGGGGCGGGCGGGGGTGCACGGGCGAGGGCTGGGGGAGATCGCGGGGGTCTGGAGGGGGGGGAAGGCGGAGTCCCGTGCATGCAGAAGGGGAGATCGACTGCACGGGTGGGGACGCCTCAGCGTACGCTGGCATGCCCGCTCGGAGCCAGGCCGGGCTGGGGGGGGGGTTCTGGGGAGGGGGGCGTTCGCACGGGGCGATGCGACATGGCCCGCTCGGGGAGGGGGCCCGCGCCGGCGTTACCTCTTCGCTGTACTCCCGCAGGACCCTCTCGATGGCCCCCGCGTCGCCCCCCCGCAAGGTGTTCAGCGCCCCCTCCGCATCCATCGCCGCAGGTGCGGGGCGGCCGCGTGCTGCTCCGGGCTTCGGGTCAATGCCTCGCGCCCCCTCCCTCTCGGGCAGCTCTCTCGCCCGCTCTCTCCCCCTCCCTCCCACCCGCCAGCCTCCGCCTGGCTCGGCCTGACGTCACCGCCCCTCACCTTTCACCCCGGTGACGTCAAAGTCCCCATGGCAACCGCCGCGCTGCGCCGCACCCGCCCGCCGAGGGAAGGGGGACGGCGTTCGCCGCGCGGATTGGCTGCGCGCCGGGGGTGGAGTCCCGGGGATGCATCTCCCTTGGCGGGGCAGGCGGAAAGCGGGACCGCGGACAGAGCGCAGAAGGCGGAGGCCCCGCCTCGGCGCCTTTTCCCAGCGGCCTCGCTCTTCCTACATGGCCCGGCGGGCCTAGAACCGTTTTTTTCCGTTGCCGCGGCTTCGCTGGACTACTTCTCCCAGCATGCAACGGGGCAGACCTGCCGCGTCCTCTCTCCGCCGCCCCGCCCACCCATCAGCTGATAGGGCCCGAACTGCATGCTGGGAGTGGTAGTCTCCCTGCTTCTCGGAGAAGCTTCGCCTTCTCGCAGCGGGGCATGCTGGGAACTGTAGTCTTGTTGGGGGCCAGGGGAGCACCTGGGCAGAGGGAGGAGCCCGTGGCACCTCCGGGGTTGGGGAGGCTGGAGATAGTGCCCCAGGAAGGCTTTAGAGACCTCCTCCCTTCACAGCTCCAGTCCTTGCGGGGGAGCTGCTGCTCAGGGACAGCTTTGGGCCGAACCTGTGAGGCCCTGGGTGTTACCAGGAACTAGGAGAGGGCTGGTCTGAGCCGGTTTCTTCCTCTTTTTTTTTTTTAAGTGCCTTTGTGTCCCTTTGATTGTTGTAGCCAGAGCTTTGGATTTGGGGTCCGCACCAACTGGGCTGGAAGGCCGGCTCTGCTCCTTAACTGTTGGGTGACCTGAGAGGAGTTGCATAACCTTTCTGGGCCTCAGTTTCTTCCTATATAAAATGGGCATCATTGGACTAGGTGATCTCTTTGGTCACTTTCAAACCCAGACCCAGCCAGTCCCCTACTCTAGAAGCTTCAGTGGCTCCCTATTACCCTAGGGTAAAATACAAACGCCATTTGGCACTTGAAGCCCTTCACAACCCAACTGGACTCCTGCCTATCTTTCCACACCACTTTTAAAAAAATTTTTTTTATCAATTTATTTTGATTTATCAACAATCACTTCCATATGCTTTTGAGTTTATAATTTTTCTCCCCCTTCCCACCACCCTCCCCAAGACAGCGCACAATCTGATATAGGCTACACATTTACATTTCTATTAAACATATTTTCACATTAGTGATGTTGTAAGTAAAAATTAGAACCAATAAGAGGAACCATCAGAAAGAGGAAACAAAACTCAACAGAAGAGAAAAAAATAGCAATTCAACTTCCATAGTTCTTTCTTTGGATATGGATAGCATTTTCCATCAGGAGGCCTTTGGAGATATCTAAGATCCTTGTATTGCTGAGAAAGTTTATCAATATTAGTCATCACACAACACAGCTGTTACTGTGTACAACATTCTCTTGGTTCTGCTCACTTCACTCAACTTCAGACCATACAAGTCTTAAAAGGTTTTTCTGAAGTCAGCCTGTTCATCATTTCTTATAGCATAATAGTATTCCATTACATTCATATACCACAACTTGCTCAGCCATTCCCCAATGGATGGGCATCCTCTCAATTTCCAATTCTTTGCCACCACAAAAAGAGCTGCTATGAATATTTTTGTACATGTGGGTCCTTTTCCCATTTGTATGATCTCTTTGGGATATAGCCCTAGAAGTGCTACTGCTGAGTCAAAGGGTGTGCACATTTTTCTAGCCCGTTGGGCATAGTTCCGAATTGTTCTCCAAAATGGTGGGATCATTTCACAACTCCACCAACAATGCATTAGTGTTCCAATTTTCCCACATCTCCAACATTTATCACTTTCCTGTTTCGTCATGTAAGCCAGTCTGATGGGTGTGGTGTGGTACCTCAGAGTAGTTTTGATTTGCATTTCTCTAATCAATAGAGATTTAGAGCATTTTTTCATTTGACTATAGGTGGCTTTAATTTCTTCATCTGAGAACTGCCTGTTCGTATCCTTTGACCATTTATCAATTAGGGAATGACTTGCATTCTTATAGATTTGACTTAATTCTCTCTATATTTTAGCAATGAGGCCCTTATCAGAAACACTGGTTGTAAAATTCTTTCCCAATTTTCTACCTTCCTTCTAAGCTTAGTTGCATTGGCTTTGTGCAAAAGCTTTTCAATTTAATGTAATCAAAGTTGTCCATTTTGCTTTTTATAATGTTCTCTACCTCCTGTTTGATCATGAATTTCCAGACCACTTTCACATGACTCGCCTACACCCTCCTCCTCCGTTTCAGCCACACTGGCCCACTGCTGCTTCCCCACCCTGCCTTTGTACCTGGAATGCTCTCTCTTTTCATTCCCACCCACTCCTGGTATCCCCAGCTACCCTCAAGGCTCAGCTCCCAAATCACAATCTCAGTCTAAAGTGTTTCCTGCCAGCCCCATAATTAGGAGTATTTGAGTCTCCCCTCAAACTTACTTTGTATCTACGTGTATCTATTTTGTTATCTACTCATTTCTGTAGTTCTCCTCTCCCTCCCTCCTACAATGGAAAGAAGCTAGGTTAAGTGACTTGCCCAGCTAGTTAAGTATCAAGTGTCTGAAGCTACATTTGAACTCAGGTCCTCTTGACTCCAAGGCCAGAGCTCTATCCACTGAGCCACCTAGCTGCCCCTGGGTTTAAACTTTCCAAGAGTTATTTCACTACTCTGGGCCTCAGCTTCTTCCTCTGTAAAATGAGGGGATTGGACTAGGTGACCTCTAAAGTCCCCTCCAGCTCTAGATGGAAAAACCTAAAACATTAAGCTCCTTAATGGCCAATATTGTTTTCAGTTTTTGTCTTTGTACCCCCAGGGCCTCCTACAGTGTCTGGCACACAGTAGGTGCTTAATAAATGCTCATTGACTTGGGTTGGAAGGAACTGAATTTCACTTCTAATAGTCCCGATCCTCTAGTTTGGCCCCCAAAATAGCAAATCTCCATCAATGAAGGTGTGCCAACAGGGCCTTGATGGTAGCTGGTTTGGGTATAGTGGCCAGGATTCATTCTTTAGGGGTTCATGGGGGAGGGAGCCGAGTACAAAGGGGTCTTAAGATCACGAATTTGGAGAACCACTGCTCTACATCTTAGTACACAGTTTTTGTGAATTATTGTGGCCCAGAGCCAGGGACGGGGAACCTGCAGCCCTTTGATTGAATCCAAACATTTGTTCTGTGAAGTTTGGATTCAGTCAAAGGGCTGCACTTGAGGGTCTAGAGGGCCACATGTGGCCTTGAGGCCACAGGTCGCCCACCCCTGCTTTTATTCTCTGGGTTTTTCTGGCTTCCAGCTTTGACAGAGAAGATGATGATGCTAACCTCTCCTTAGGTCACTGAAGGGGAGAGTCTGTGGAAAGAAGCCTACATGCAAAATGTCGATCATGTCCCCATTCTCAGCTTTGCTACACTAAAGACGTCATGGAATTTTCCCCTTGGGTGAGATACCTCTCAGTGTTCATGGAGCTGAGAAGTCTCACTCCCAATGGGAGAGCTCCTTCAATCTGTATTGTCTGGTGTGTGTGTGTACATGTATATACACATGTATATGTATACATATATGTTTATATCCACATGCATGTACACAAATACATATACATAGATATGCGCACGCTTTCTCCAATTTCTGTGTTGCTATTGGCTGGGATAAATGGTTTTCTTTGCTATTTGCTATGTGTGTTCATCGTGGAACTGGTATTTAGTGGTTCAGGAGTCAAGCCTTGGATATAAAAGTTGGGGGCCCCCCTTTCCCCATTAATGAATAGTGATCAGGCATTTAGCTTGACCCTCACAGTAATTTCCCCTAGACTAATAATATTCAAGGGAACAGCCAGGTATAATTGCAGCCCTGTACCCTCTCTCTCTCTAAGGACAGCAGAGTGACCAGCCTCTGGCAGGCATCAGTCTTCGTTGGAGAAGGGCTGGGAAGAGTGGGGGAGATGCTAAAGATATCTATTCTTGTTTCTTAGCAAGCCACATGAACCAGCCACATTACATTATCACATTGAAAAGCAGTTGGTTTTCTTGCTGGTTTAATTTTATTTCCTCTCTATCATACTTTTCCATGTTGATTAATTACATGATGTAATTCATTAAGACTTTGAGTACCAACTGTGTGCCCAGCAACATACGAGATGCTTAATAACCACTTTATTTATGTCTAAGAGCTGCTTCCTGATCATACCAAGGGAATGAATAGACTAGGGTCTAACTTCTTTACTCCACCTGAGTTATTTTTTGGAAAGAACCACCTAGAGACAGTGTTCCAAGGATCTGTTTTTCCAGTAGACTGACTGCAATTCTTGGGGTCCAATTACACTTTTTTTTTTTGCTTTTTGGTGAGGCAATCAAGGTTAAGTGACTTGCCCAGGGTCACACAGCTATAATGATTACACTTTTAAAAGAGCTTTTAAAAATGCAAGACAAATGATCAATGTTTACCTTATGAAATGACTGTTCATTTAAACATTTATTTGATTTTATTTTTAATTTATGGAATAAAAAAACAATATTGCTCTTACTGGATACAATGTCCTCTTGGTTCTGCTCATTTCATTCTTCATTATTTTGTGTTCACTTTAAAAAAAAAAGATTTATAGGATCATGGATCTAGAACTGGAAAAGATCTGAGAGGCCAACTACTCCAACATCCTCATTTTACAGATGAGGAAACTGAGACCCAGAGACATTAAGTGAATGTCTCCACAACGTCTCTCACATATTCTGCCCCCCCCTTTTTTCTGAAATCCTATTGCTATTATGATAACTTGTCACCCTCACCAATAACCAACTATTTGGTTACCCTACCTCAAACCCTCCCCACTCCATCCCATCTTCCACAAAGCCAACAAAGTGATTTTGCCTAGTGTAGATCTGACCATGTCCCCACCATCAGCACTTCCCCCCCCCAATAAATTTCAATGGCTCCTTATTGTTTC